TTCTTAATATTCAATAGAACTAACGTATTCCATGTAAGTATCGCTCATATAATAAAATCAATGATCAATTTTAATGGAACGGTTTTACCTGTTTTAAAATAGGGAAAATAATAACCCCGAAAGAAAGCCCAACACGTCAAAATCGAAAATGTTGCAGTCTCGGTTTGATTGAGCCTGTTCATGGACGGTACTTGAGTGCAAACTACCGTCCACGCCCATAGCACCGGCTTAAGCAGAATTCAACATTTAAACATGAAATGATACAATTTTGAATAAAGAAACATCCGCAGATGTGTTCATACGGCGGTTATTATGTACCTTCAATGTGACACTTCCGTGCCATTCATTGAAAAGCGGCGTATGGTCCCCAAGTAATAACAAGAACACCGCTAGGCGAAGCATTATATGCCCGAAAGTGTTTTTTTTTATATTAAGGATGAAGCATTTGTAAGACATTACATAAAATTAAATAAAGTATTACCCCCTTCCAATAGCAATCCTACTATAAGGTTTGAATATTGTGGGCCAAACATAAATTAAGTCATGCTCCGTAAAACTGTTTTCAGTTTAAAAGAAACAGTGACTTTGACTTTTTGACCCAAAAATCAATAGGGGTATTCTACCTTATATGGACAATCATCCTATGAAGTTTGAATATTGTGGGCCAAATAGACCTTAAGTTATGCTCCGGAAACTGTTTTCAGTTTTAAAGTAATAGTGACCTTGACCTTGACCTTTGACCGTGTGACCACAAAATCAATAGGGGTCTCCTACCCAATATGGACAATCATCCTATGAAGTTTGAATATTGTGGGCCAAATGGAACTTAAGTTATGCTCCGGAAACTGTTTTCAGTTTTAAGGTAATAGTGACCTTGACATATGACTTTGTGACCCCAAAATCAATAGGGATATTCTACCAAATATGGACTTAAGTTATGCTCCGGAAACCAAATTGCTATCGGACGGACAGACGGGCGGACGGATATACAGACAGACGAAGGGACGGACGCATGTGGGTATAACATAATATGCCCGAAATTCTTTCGGGGCATATAAAAAGCGTGTGCCCTAAACGAGAAAACAATGGGCGGAACTAAATAAAATGGAATTTTAAGCCTTGTTCGGCGATTTGCCGTTTATATCTGAACTGCAAGCGGAAGATAACGAAGTTTGGGGAGAATATAGGAGTCACCCGGTGGTCGGTCGGTCGGTCCAGACGTCCGTTGCATTTTTCTTGTCCGGAGCATAACTTGAAGACTAATGATTGGAATGAAATATCACTACGCACAATGGTCAAGCACATTGAGAGGAATTGCAGTGCACAAGAACCATAACTCTATCTGACTAATTACAGAGTTATTGCCCTTTGTTACTTTTCCTTGTCCAGGGAATAACTTGAAAACTACTGGTTGGAATTCAAAACAACTTCATACAATTTTCATGAGGGGAAGTGCAGTGCACAAGAACCATAGCTATATCTAAAGTAATTACAGAGTTATTACCCTTTGTTATTTTTCAATTGCTTTCTTTTGTCCGGACCATAACTTGAAGACTAATTTTTGGAATTCATTATAACTTAATACAATGGTTAAGCACATTGAGAGGAAGTGCAGTGCACAAGAACTCTACTCCGTCTTCACTTTTTACAGAGTTACTGCCCTATGTTACTTTTCCTTGTCCAGAGCATGACTTGAAAACTACTGGTTGGAATTCAAAACAACTTCATACAACGGGCAAGCACAATAAGGGGAAGTGCAGTGCACAAGAAATATAACTCCATCTTGACTAATTACAGAGTTATTGCCCTTTGTTACTTTTCCTTTGCTTTTTTGTCCGGAGCATTACTTGAAGACTAATAGTTGGAATTCAATATAACTTCATACAATGGTCAAGCACATTGAGAGTATGTGCAGTGCAGAAGAAGCATAACACCATCTTGACTAGTTACAGAGTTATTGCCCTTTGTTACTTTTCCTTGTCCAGAGCATTATTTGAAAACTACTGTTTGAAATTCAATACAACTTTATACAGTTGTCAAGGACATTAAAAGGAAGTGCAGTGCACAAGAGCCGTAACCCCTATTTAGACAAAAATACAGAGTTGCTGCCCTTTGATACTTTTTCTTGTCCGGAACATAACTTAAAACGTACTGGTTGGAATTCAAAACAACTTCAATTGAGTACCGCTCAAGCCGGTGCTAGGGGGCGTGAGGGATGTTGCACTTATTCATTATCCCTCATGTACAGACTCAATCAAACCGAGTCTGCAATTCTTATGTTATTTTGTTGTGATTAATGCTTCCGAGGGATCACTTTGTTTCCAGAATTTCATACAATGGTCAAGCACAATAAGAGGAAGTGCAGTGCACAAGAACTATAACTCCATCTTCAGTATTTATAGAGTTATTGCCCTTTGTTTCTTTTCCTTGTCTTTCTGGACTTATAACAGAGTAATTCAATAAAACTTCAGCAATGGCCAACCACATTGAAAGGAAATGCAACATACAAGAACCACAACTATCTGTAATTGCCCACTGTTAATTTCATGTTCTACAACTCTTGTTTAAGTTAGAATACTCTTCTTTTAGAAACAACTTTTAGTGACGTCATTGTGACGTCATGACGTCGTGTTTTTGCTTAGTAACATCATGAGTATTGTGATCTGTTGAATGATAATTGTGCAGTCATAATAAAGTGTAAATTATGCAGTGGTGTTGGCGTATTATATTTAGTGTTGGTGTTAACAAGTGGTAGCAGAGCGAGGTTACGATCCTCGGACCTCTGGGGTATGGGCCCAGCACGCTTCCACAGAAGGTCAGAGAGTGTTTAAATTTGGAGGGGGAACATGCCTAAAATCAAAAGGTGAGTTTCGTATACCTGCTGTAGTTGCTGGAAAGGCAGTGGCGATAACCACTGATGTTGTAGATTCAGATATTCCTCTACTACTCTCGCGTACTGCAATGAAGAAAGCAGCAATAAAGATGGATCTTGAAAATGATACGGCGACCATTATGGGAACGGAAGTAGCACTGAACTTAACAACATCAGGCCATTACTGCATTCCAATAGATAAAACAGTGGAAGTTCCAGTGGAAAAGGTGTATTCAATTGTCCTTGAGAATTTGAACACACAAGAGAGGCGCAAAACTCTTGTGAAACTGCACCGACAATTTGCTCATCCTCCACAGAAAAGATTGGCATCACTTTTGAAGGACGCTGGAATATGGAAAGCAGAGTATGAAGCAGATCTTGACCAGATTGTAAACAGATGTGAAATTTGTAAACTTTATGCCAAGACTCCTTCAAGGCCAGTGATAGGTATGCCAATGGCCTCCAGGTTCAACGAAAAGGTTGCAATGGACCTAAAACAATGGAATGGGCGCTGGATATTACATATCATAGACATGTGGTCAAGATACACTTTGTCCGCTTTTGTAGACAGAAAGAAGCCATGTAATATCATAGATGCTTTGATGAAAGAATGGGTTGGGCGATTTGGAGTGATGGGATCTTTGATGACAGACAACGGAGGGGAGTTCAATTCGGATGAGGTAAGGGAAATTACATCCATACTAAATATTCGGTTATGTACAACTGCAGCTGACAGTCCATTTCAAAATGGATTGTGTGAAAGAGTGCATGCAATTACTGATATGATGCTGACCAAACTCCATGCAGATTATGAAAAGGTAAATTTGCAGACCTTCTATCATGGGCAAATATGGCAAGGAATTCTTTGCAAATGTGGAATGGTAACAGCAGCCATCAACTTGTCTTTGGACAGAACCCCAACATTCCAAACATCATGAGCGAAAATTTGCCAGCTTTACAAGGAACGACTAGCAGTGAAGCTTTTGCAAAGCACTTAAATGCTCTGCATGCAACTCGAAGGGCTTTAATACAGTCTGAAGCTGATGAAAGAGTAAGAAGAGCACTCAGAAATAAGGTAAGAGCTTCAGAACAAGTGTTTGAACATGGAGACCGTGTTTTTTACAAGAGAGAGGGTCGAGAATGCTGGCTTGGACCAGGAAAGGTAGTTTTCCAAGATGGGAAAATAGTGTTTGTGCGACACGGAGCAGTTTTTGTGCGTGTATCTCCAAATAGACTTCAAAAAGTGAACAATTTGTGGGATAGAGAAGACCATGATCAAAGTTCAGATGCAGATGGAGGGGCCAAGGTTCAGCAAGAATTGACAAACACAGATGATCAACAAATGATTTCTGAAGAACTACCTGCAAGAATTTCTGATGATAATTTACTAACAAGGCTAGAAGAGATACCAATTGTCGGGTCTGACAGAGATAGACAGACACAAGATAGAAAGTTCCTGAAACCCAATGATAATATTCAGTATAAAACACAAGACACTGATGTTTGGATCCATGCAAAAGTTCTTGGAAGGGCAGGAAAGGCAACAGGGAAGAACAAACACTGGTATAATGTTATGGAAGACATCAGTAAAGAGAAGAAGAGTATCAATCTGGATCAAGTTGACTGGGAACTGTTGAATGACAATGTGAACCTAGTGTTGGAGAACTGTAAAGTTAACAATAATGTCTCAGAGGCAAAACTTGCTGAATTACAGAAATTGAAAGAATTCGGTACATACGTAGAAGTCAAAGATTGTGGCCAAAATACATTATCAACTAGGTGGGTCATAACAACAAAAAATGAACAGACAAAAGCCCGTCTTGTTGTAAGAGGCTTTGAAGAAGAATTCCAAATGCAAAGTGACAGTCCAACAGTGGGAAAAGGAACTATGAGAATGTTTCTTGCTTTTGCATCTATTAACAATTGGATTGTCAAGACCACTGACATTAAGTCAAGAGATAAAGAGGGATGTGTACATTAAGCCCCCAAAGGAGTGTGAAAAGGCTGAAGGAGTTGTCTGGAAATCTGGAAATTACGTCATGGACTGTATGGACTCAAGGATGGTGCAAGACAGTTTTATCTCAGTGTAAAGGAAGAATTGCTGAGACTTGGATGTCAAATGTCTAAAATGGATCCTGCAATGTACTTTTTGCATACAAATGGACAGTTGAGCGGTGTAATATGTTGCCATGTTGATGATTTTTTACATGCTGGAAATGAATGCCTTGAGAGAATTATGATGAGTTTGCGAAAAAGGTTTGTAGCTGGAAAAGTAGAGGAAGGCAATTTTGATTATATTGGATTCAGAGTCATGCAACAGTCCAGTGAAATTTTGCTAGACCAATCCCGGTATGTAGGAAATATAAATACACTAAGTTTAGATACTAAGAGGGTGCAACAGAAAGAAGACATTCTTACAGATGAAGAACAATCCACCTACAGACAAATTATTGGCCAGATCAACTGGGCTGTACAAGGAAGTAGACCAGACATGGCTTTTGAACTCATTGACCTGAGTACCAAGCTAAAACAAGCAACTGTGGGTGATTTGTGCAGGGCAGTCAAAACAGTCAACAGATTGAAAGATGTGAGATCTATGATTACATTTCCCAGACTTAGCAAAAATGTCAGTGACTGGAGGATTGTGGTATTCACAGACGCTTCTCTGTGTAACATCAGCAGCGGGACTGGAAGTACTGCAGCTTTTGTTATGTGGTTAGCCGACAGTCAGGGAAAATGTTGCCCACTTGCATGGCATACAAACAAGATCAAACGGGTCGTTCGCTCAACAATTGCTGCTGAGGCACTAAGTCTACAAGAAGGTCTTGAATGTGGCTATTACTATAGACAGATGCTAGAGGATATTATGAAGCTTCAAAGTAACACCATACCAATAATTGCTTATGTTGACAACAAAAGTGTCATTGATGCTATACATTCCACCAAGTTAGTTGATGACAAGCGCCTGCGGGTTGACATAGCAGCCATCAATGAATCTTTGTCCAGGAATGAAGTAAAGGATGTACGATGGTGTCCGGGTAAATACCACCTTGCAGACTGCATGACCAAACGAGGAGCTTCTGGTTACAATCTGCTGGAAGTATTTCATGGAGGGCAATTTTCAGAAGAGTTTATATAAACTGTAATCATATTAATTTAATTTCTGTAATCATATTAATTTATTTTATTAACTTCAACTCAAAAAGAAAAGAAATAATAATGAATGTTAATTTCATGTTCTACAACTCTTGTTTAAGCTAGAATACTCTTCTTTTAGAAACAACTTTTTGTGACGTCATTGTGACGTCATGACGTCGTGTTTTTGCTTAGTAACATCATGAGTATTATGATCTGTTGAATGATAATTGTGCAGTCATATTAAATTGTAAATTATGCAGTGGTGTTGGCGTATTATATTTAGTGTTGGTGTTAACACCCACAACCATAAGTCTATATTTCTTTTATTAGTAACATCCTCATTTCTGAAGCAGTCCTGTGTTTTAATCACATTTAGTGATAGTTCTCGTTTTATCTAAAATCCATTTGCATTTGTATATGTGTATCGAGGAAGCTAGAATTACATTTTGTAGCTACTTTGAATTTCGAGCAAAGTTGTAATACAAAACAAATAGTTTGTCATGCCTTTTATGATTACATGAATGTATATCATACACACATTGTTTAATTCTTTAGGCCTTACTCGTATAGGCATCCTCTTAACACAATACTCTTTCTATTTGATTATATATTATTATAGTATGTCAAATATCAATTTCATTTTCATTCATAGAGATAGTTTTATTGTACATTTTATCTTAATTATTATCAATAACCGTTTCTTTTGCAAAAAACGATACTCGTCTTGGTAATTGGTGGCGAAACGTCAATTTTATAAAATGCTTTTAAAGAAAATTAATCCATAACACCCCGACCATTCATGATTATGTGAAGAGAAATGCATAAGATTTAAATTAATCCATTTCAAATAAATGGTACAAAATGACATAGATGTCTTTCCTTCCTTGTACGAATGGTGCTAACCAGTACAGTATGCCATAATAAAACTATTTAAAAAATCTGTTACATACCCCCTTAAGCGTCATAGCTTAAAACAAGTGAGAACAAAGATAAACAAGCTTAGATGACGTTTACAGAGCACAGCCGTCGACAAAACCATGCCGCACAGACCTGCAAGGTGATAATCTCAACTAAAAAACAAAATAATTTAAGTATAACATATAGTAGAATAATCTGAAACTATCAGCGCCATGAAGCAAATTTTATAACATATAATATATATATTATAACCATTTGAAAAAATTAGCTTCATGATAAACCATGACGAGCAACACTTTCTATATGTAAATAAGACACATGTTTTCGAATTCCTGGTACGTTACGACATTTACTGAAACGTACCCGTCCTGACACAGTATAAAAGGAGTACTACTAGTACGGAAATTTATGGTATTTTCTTGCCGTAAAGCTTCCCCTTTAATTTCTAAAACTGCGCAGATCTAAACAGACATTCGTCTAGGACATGTAGGTAGCATTTTATTCGGCTCTTCAAAAAGGTATGCCGCGCACAGCTGACTATTCCTACGTGTAAAAACGTCGCTTTTTATTAATATTATTGACATTTCTCTCATTTGACCATGTTTAGATAAATATTATAACTAGTACATAACTCAGATCATTAAACTAAATAAATTTTAATAAAAGGGTTTTACATTACCACATTTTAGAATTATTTCAAGAGAAGTTACCAGACAACTAGGTCAAATTTGATTTAAATATATGTGTGTTTTTATTACAAGAACGACATTGATGCATTATCTGATACAACTAAGTATGATGTATAACTTAAAAAATAAAAACTTGTATTTATGGAAGCTTTGCATTTCATGAATAATTACATACAGTTTTTCACGTATCATAAAGAATCAGAAAAGTAGATAATGCATAACAACATGATTATTACATCAATGTCTATTATAGTATGGGAATATTAGCTAGGACAACCGATTTTAAAATAAATTTTATAACCATGCAAATCTTTGTTGTTTCTGTTAGGGAATACAATGAGAAACACAAAAAAAATTATCAAAATTAAATTTCTATATTAATAAGTATTTTTTTTTTCAAAATTATGCCTCACACTGTGTTAGTTTGGTTATTTTATAAAAAAAAACATTAACACAGGCAACATGTTTAAATAATACCTGCCATAAAACTTGACCTATGTACTGCACCAAGTTATTGTTTTCCATGAACTTGTGCCGGACTTTCTGGCCAACAAGCAATGGGGAATCTTCAGGCTGTGTGGATGGCTTGCTATAAGAATCAGTTACAAATTGCTTCACATTTTTAGTTAGTTTCTCAATGTTAAGATTTACTCTTTTGTCCCCAACTTTCTTTCTGAACGAGTATATTGATTTGTTGTCTGAGACTTGTTTGAGAATAAGTTTCCTGAAATTCAGCTGACATTATAATCCTGACAATGTGTCCGTCTTTGTTTTTTGCTCTTGAAATTGCACTATCCACTTCTTCTTGTGACTGCCAAAGTCCCCAGAGTTGTATTTCATTCACAAGTTCTCCTTGTTTCTGTAATTTCCTTTGTTGTTGTTCTTTCTCTTTCAGAAGTTTAAGTTCAACATTTCTTTTTATTTCTATCTTTATTTCATTTACACGGACCTTAAATTTTTGTCTCAGTTCTTTAGTCTTTTTTCTTGCTGAAATACATAATTCTTCTCTTTCTTTCTCAGGTTAAGACATTATCCAGTCCAGTGTCTTATTGTGGCTAAAAGCAATTATTGCTTCTCCGGTTAGAATGGTGATGTTTTGCTTCTCTCGTAGTAATCTAACCAACTGACCAAAAACTGTTTCACTGAACTTATTATGTTTTGGTGTTCCTTTCACTTTTTCCTTCACACCTTCATCACAGTTATACCACTCCCCACCAGGAAGATAGTCTTTTAGCAAAGACTGAAGAACATTTTTCAATGTTGGTATTACACTGATAACACAGTTACAACATTTTCATCAATGTCTATAGATTTAATGAGCGACTGGAAAATTGGAGACATGGCTAGTTGTTCATTGTAAGCAAATGTAAGCAAGCTATTTCCACTCATGAATCGTTCAGCATCAACATTCATACTGTCCATGTAATCCATTATTTGTTTAAAATGGTCTTGCATGTCTAAAATGTTGATCTCTGTATTTTCGATAAGACAAGAGAGGTTTCGTTATTAGTTCAGACACAAGTCCTAGTGCACGGCAACCTGCACGGTACTGCGGTACATAAAATTCTGGAAACAAAGTGATCCCTCGGAAGCATTTATCACAACAAAATAACATAAGAATTGCAGACTCGGTTTGATTGAGTCATTTTCAATTTTGCCGTGTTGGGCTTTCTTTAGGGATTCTGTATTTATCTATTTTATTGATTGAGTCTGTACATGTTTGTCATGTTTGACAGCTTTCAATAGTCTATTAGTGTCACCACCTTCAATGTATTCTATAAATTTCTCAGACAAAAAATAAACAGCTGCTGCATTGTTAAAAAGAATGTTAAATCTATTACCCCTGAACCTTTTAAGAGGCACAGTAACAAAACCATTCTCTGTCAGAAAGTCACTGACATATGCTGAAAATGGTCCGTTAACATCATTCTTCTCATCACCGCCCCTAGCAAAAGATTTTGAACAACATTTTATCAGTCTTGTTGTTCCAGACTCTGATGGTTTTCTGAAACTTGTGTCATAAATGGGTGCTTCCTCAAACAGAAGTTTGTCCGTTTCTAGTAGTGCCTTTTCTGCCCCCTCTGCAAGGTGCACAAGAACATGCAAAGAACAAAAGAAGTTCATATTAAGTCTACTCATGGAATTTTTTTCATTTTCAGATAATCCATCCCATTCAGTATTTTGTTTCAGCACATCTATTCGAAAGTCTTCTAACAGCTCATTAAATTTCTTTTGGATTGCTGCCCTGTCAGACATAGTAGCATTGATATTCATTAATATTTTTTTAGACACATGAATTTCAGCTTCACTGAACGAGTCATCAATGTCACTTAAAATTTCTTTGAAAGTGTCAAGTGCACTCTGTCCCGATTTATTGGCCATCTGTCGTAGTCCCAGGACCCATATTCGCCCTGAGTCATCTACAGCATGAAATCCTTCATATTTCTGACCGAACATCGATGTTTCATCACTACGAAGACAGGTGTTCCTTTTTGCTGGAAGGTCTTCAGCAATTTGTTGTTGTGCCAAATGAAGCCGCTATATGTTCATATTATTACATGTGCTTTTTGATGGTAAATGACTAGCATCCATTTTAGCAAGTTTCACGTATTACTAAAGGTATCTTAGTGGTGGAAACATTATGTTGAAGTAAAGAATACACACATTGTTGCATCTCTGGTGTATATGCTCTTAAGTCATCATTGAATGTTATGATAGTCTGTTCACACATTTGGCTTAGCCATTCAATTTCAGCTTTTGCATCTCTTTTATCCTTCTCCAGCAGCTCAATTATTCTATCTCTTACCTTACTTTCAATCGTAATGTGTTCTAGTGATTGCTTTAAGCATACATTTTCATCATTTAGCTTTTTGTTTTCATCACTTAATCGATTTGCTTTTTTTCATAATAAGTTACTGACAGACGCTGCCTTTTTAACAGGTTTGTTAAAGTTAAAACTAATGTTCTCAAATGTTGTTCTTTTTTCTTGTTCAGTTTATTCATTTCTGTTTCTTTCCTTTCAAGTAGCATGATTGACACGGAAGTGTCACATTGAAGGTTCCATGATAACCGCCGTATGAACACATCTGCGGATGTTTCTAAATTCAAAATTTTACTATTTCACGTTTAAATGTTGAATTCTGCTTAAGCCGGTGCTAGGGGGCGTGGACGGTAACTTGCACTTTCCAGTACCGTCCATGAACAGGCTCAATCAAACCGAGCCTGCAACATTTTCAATTTTGCCGTGTTGGGCTTTCTTTAGGGATTCTGTATTTATCTATTTTTTGATTGTTTTTGTGCCAAACATTTAGCTTTCAGACTTATAACTTCTTCAAGTAGACTTTTATTTTTATTTTTAAGCTTATGTACTTCATCAGCTAACTCCATGGACATG